CACCCCGACTATGACCGTCAAATGATTCGCGAAGCCGAGGCTTTGAGGAAACGTGGACTCTGCGTCCTCGATGCCACGTCGCTTATCAAGTGTACTACACGATACGACGGCCAGCACATGGAGAATTCGGAGCATAACCGCCTCCAGTGCATTCGCTTCTATTCCGAAGCAGGCGCTCTTGGTTATCATCTCTTTCGGCTTCGGTCGTGCAAGCCATTGGTTGAGATGGCTGAGATGAAGAAGCGCCGCGAGGAATCGCTGGCCAACCCCCTTCCTGAGAACAACCCCGAATGGGAAGAGATGGAGGAAGTGTTGGTCTCCATGGACGTGGACGGTTGGGAGATCTATGTGAAGGAGACTCGACCCAAAGGGCAACGACTTCCCAACGAAGTTGATCCCGAACGTGCACAAGTCCCACAGGCTCCTACGGTGCAGGATGATGCCACTGTGGCCTCATCGAACTGGCAGCTTTTGGAGTCCGTGGATGCTGCACTGCCGGGGGAACCCGAGCACTTTGAACCACACGAGGTCAAAGAGCCGGAGATGGATGGTGAGCTCATCGACGCCATCCTCAAGCCCTTCTTGGATCGGTTGCCAGGTGTTTCCGACGAGCGCGACATTGACGAGCCGGATGCTGACGAGGAGATTGTCTTCAGGGACCCCATTGTCGGCGGCTCGGCATCGATGTTTAGCCAGCGGAAGCTGCGCTCCCATCTGATGAACAAGATCCATGCTGTGGACTTCAAGTTGGATGGTTCTGGCGTAGTGAACATCTTGGACACCGACGTCACACGTGATCCTGCCAAGCTCGAACTTCGGCAGGAATCCATGCAGCAGACTGAAAGTGGTGCGGTCATCATTCGTCGCTTTGACTTGACGGATGAGGAGAAGCATCGTCAGATGGAACGGGAGATCTTCGAGGAGCCCAAGACCGCCGAGGAGAAACTTCGCGCGGGTGACCCTGCTGCCTCTGTCCAGATCATGTCGAAGGCCAAGTCGAAGGCGGCTTCCTCATCCGAAGCGGCATCATCTTCGAGCGGCATCGCACAGGTGATCGGGGACACTGTCAGCCAATTCATCAAACCCAAGATGAGGGATCAGGCCACGATGATTCAGCCCAAGCCTGCTCCGCGGCTCCCAAAGGTCTCAACGGCGACGGGAACGTCTCCCATGGCGTCCCCAAAGCCCAGTCCGCCACCGACTCCGAAGAGTGCAACTGGATCCCCCAAGCCGGAGCCGCCTGCACTCCCAGCGGAAGCTGCGGACCATCCTATGCCCAAAGCTTTGCCTTTCAAGGCACCGCCTGCTATGTTGACAACAACCTCACCGAGGGCACCTCCGCAGAAGTCATCGGCGCCTGCAGCTGCGTCTTCGTCGGAGCCTGCCCCGAAGATTGCCAAGAAGGAGCCGCCTATGGCAAGTGCTCCTCCCCCGGGAACGGGTGGACCTCAGCCTCCGGCTGAACCGCCCTTGCGACCATCTGGGTATCCCAAATGGTACTTTTTCTCCCCGGGAACGGGCGAGCGCAGGGAGTTCACCATCAGGTGCACTGAACTGCCTGGCCTTCGGGATCTTGGACGACTCGGTCACGACGACTTCAAGTTCTCCAAGCGGGTCACTGGGCTGCTGCGCGGCTATGACCACAAGTTCCTCGAGGCACACCATCGTCATCTTCCTCCTGAATTTGACGAGGAGCTCTACCTCAACTTCGAGAGCATGTACAGCTACTTGAGGAAGAGGTATCGGGCCCAGCTTTCGCGACAGGATCTCTACCTGATCCTTCGAACCCAGGACAGGTTCATGTGTCGCATTCAAGCTGGAATTGTCGGGGAACTGACAACTATGGACATGCCGTACCGCATCACGCATGTGAAAGCCTGCCAAGGCCATGACCAGTCCCTCATCGACAAGGTGGGAACGGCTCCATTGGTCAAGCAGATCATCTCGCTTGACTACCAGTTCACGGTCGAGGATTTGAAGAAAGGATTCTACCCAAGGGTCCCCATTTATCCTCACCTGGCGGAAGCCGAGGACCCAGAAGAGTTCAGGGTGATCTACCATTACACTTCATGGGACTCCCTCCAGCAGATCATTTGCACGGGGATTTTTCCAGGGGCCACTTCATGCAAGGGTCATGTGTATATGACCCGCCATGCGCCTTGGGAAATCGAAGGCAAGGATCCTGGTGTCAGGACGAACCGACCGCTGTGCATCGCGATCGACACCGATTGTGCTCTGCACTATGGTCTTCGCCTGGTGGAAACCTTGGCCGGTGCACTCATCTCCGAGGACTGGGTGCCCAATCATTGCCTCATCTACGCATTTGATTGCGAGAAGTCGCAATATCTTTGGGCGAACCATGGCTACAACGGGGTGAAGAAGTACCTTCGGCAGAAGGCCTCCGAGAACGCTCTCACTTGGGAAGAGAACGAGGCTCGGAAGGGCACTCCCGAATACGAGGAACTTGAAAGGTACGAGCGTTCGGACTTGGAAGTGTTGAAGAACATGTTTGTGAATGAGTATGACCAGTGGAAGGATGTCATCACCTTGCGACGTCCGCTCATTTACAAGGAAGCTCCGACACCGTTTCCTGTCGTCGATGAGTTGCTGCCAAAGACCAAGCAACGGCCGCTCAACTTCACCAATCTCCTCTGCGTGGCGCGCAAGCCGACGGTGACTGCAGCTGGCTTCGGCGTCGCCCCTGACAACGCGCGGGAACGCCGTTCTGATCGCTTCGATCAGGAGGCATTTGACCCATCCGCGGAGGGGAACCTCACGCGCTGGCGGTATGTTTCTATGCTGGCAATGCCAGAATTGACATGCCCCCGGTGCAGGAAGATCTTTCCTGAGGGGATGTTGGTGTGCCTCGCATGCGGCTTGTCACTGGCGACAATGTCCGACATGCGTCGCGCATGCCAGGTGTTCCGCCTGGAAGAATTGGCCGAGAAGCTCGGGTTCGAGCTGACTTTGGACCTTCTGGGCGACGACGATGTAGCAGGCACCACACAAGGTGCCAAGCAGATCAGATCTGCTGCTGCTGTCCTCAAAAATCACGCCCCTTCATATATGAAACAGGCGCGAAAAGCGGGGATGACTTTGCTACAGCGTCTGGGAACGGACGCCCACTACGCCTTCAATTGCGCAGTCCAAGACCTTACACCTCGGTGTATGCATTGGATTACCGTTTTGGGCAACGTGGTGCTTCCCGCCATCAAACGCACCCGCGAGGAGATCCGAACTGGAAAGATTCGGCAGTACAAAGCGCGTATGTGCTTGGTCGCATACGAAGAGGAGCAGATGAAGACGATTGTCGTGGACGATCATGTACTCATCTGGTACAAGAACCGCTTTTACAGAGCCAACCAGTTCGCGGCCGCCTATGCTCTGATCCCTGTGGCCGATCGATTTGAGGTTCTGAGCGCCGCCAACACGACGTTTCAGTCCCTCGCCCTGTCCAAGCAGGATGTGTACGCCGACATTCTCAGCTACGTCGACGACATCTTGCGCCCCCTCACGGAGGCAAAGGACACGGAAGGCGGAAGCCGACCCCTGCCTGCAACAAAGCAGCAGAACCCAGATGTCACCAGGTCTTCGCGTCCTGGGTATGGATCACATCAGGGGCCCACTCATGGCTACAGTCAGCAGGAATGGAACGATTACTACAATCAGTGGACTGACCAGGAGTGGGAGGATTGGCGCCGTCGAAATCAAGGCCACCAATACAGGGATCGACGATGGTCTGGCTATCGCTGAGGCACCGCGGAGGGGAACCTCTCGCCTGGTGGATTTATCTTCATCTGAGGCGGGGTAGTTTCTTTCAATGAGAGGTGTCGCACAGCGGAAGCTGTTGCCTTTTCGGATTTAATTCGGTTAGGCGACTAGCTTCATTTTGCACAGGTGGGTGAGCGATTCCACCATCATTTCCAACACAAGTGTGCTAAGTCGGAATTTTTGCCAACTCATTCAAGTTCACAAAAGTTTTATTAACGCTTTGAATGCATATAATTTGAAGCAGGCATTTGGCACTCATCTTATTCTTGCCATGATTCCTTCTTGCTGAGCACACGGCTGGTAGTTGCATGTACCGCAGAGCGGAAGCTCTTGCCTTGCGAAGTTAAGGCAGCTTTGAAGCATTTCTAAAGGCTTCCCTGCGGGTTCACACAACATTGAATTCAGCTTTTGCCATAATTCAGATTGCTTTGCTTTGGCAAGCTCCTGGGCGACCACAAGAACTTTTGTTGCCGCGTGGAAACGCTGGCCTAGTATCGGGCCAAGACCTTTTCTTTCCACCTTGCACGTTCGACCACAAGCCCAGTCGAGCCTAAAATGAAGCTGAATGCATCCGACCGAATTGATGTTCATTGCATCCGTTGATCGCAGTACTTGATGTCGGGTCGAACGAAATGCATTGTCAATTTTTGCTCTTGTTGTCAGTTGCTTGCACGCCTGAGGTGAGACATGAAAGACCCACTGGAAGGAAGGCCTTGTTTCCGGGGGGGTTTGTTTGGGGTTTGTTGTTTTGGTGTTAACGGCATCCCTTACTAATGCACTATAGACGAATTTGCAGCTTCACCCCATGTATATAGGCCTACACTGCACGGGGGGTGTTGTTGCACAGTCTACATGTACATATCATAGTTTTCACTCTCATATACTGGCGTGCCTATGGCTCAAGAAATAGTGCACGGGGTGTGCAGGTAGTTTGTGGCTAAACCCGGTTTATCTGTTGTTTCTACAGATTCCGTGTATATTTGTTTTCGGGCGATGTGTGTATCTGTTTGCGTGCCTGCTTTTTGTGCCTCTGCTATTGGGTGGGGTTTGGGGCCCTTTTGTTTTTTCTTGCGTGCCATTGCTCTCGGCAAACGCAAGTCATTGCTCAAAGCAATTCATGTTCAAGAGAGCTGCTCTGCGTGCTACGATACAATAGAATAGCGAATACTGGTCATTCTCGTCGCAACTCGTGGCTCTTGGGTCTTTCTTTTTTTGTGAGCCTTTTTGAGGAGTTGAGCACGTGGCTGGCTGCAGGGGAAACTGTCGACGTGCCTCTGAAAACTATGCACATTGAAGGCGGGTATAAATTCTGTCACATGCTCAAGAGAGACTGCCAGGACAAAAGTATTGACTTAGGAAATTCACCAGTTTATAACCACAATTCAAGGTCATTTGATTTATGCGCCTGTGTTTTTAGACTCACAACTTGGTCCCAGGTGCAAACTTGTGGTCTCCACGGTCCCCAGCCCTGTATGAGATGACAGTGGCTTGGCGCCATTACAAATCGCCATGACTTTCGAACCTAGCTGTGACAAGTATTGGAGAATACGTGACAAGTATTGTATAGTATCTGTGACAAGTATTGTATTGATTTGAATTGTATTGATATCTTACTGGCTGCCAGGTTCAAGTGTGGACTACCGACCCTCAGCAGGGTGGTGCAGCGCCTGACGATGAGGTCACAACCACCTTCGGAATAAGCATCTCAGTTGCAAGAGTTTTCGCCCTGCGTGGTATGAACAGTTTTGCCATGTCTACTCAAAGACATTTTATGATGCGGCCTGTGCGATTTCTCCAGTGATCTCAATCACCAAGTCAAGCGCCGTTTGTTTTTGGATTCACGTAGTTGCTGAGGAAATGTTTCCTGGAGCCCTGATTCCGGCTTTTTCATCAATGGAGTTCCTACCAAGATCCTTGGCACTGCTAATCATCAAGACTACGCGGTCTTGGGTGTAGCAGTTCCAGACCATTTGCAGGCTTGCAGCGCATTGGGGCTGTTCATGATGTTCATGGCTTTTGTATACTACATTATACTACTGTAGTGATGCCATGATGCCATTTAGACTATTTGGGATGGATCCCGCCCTTAAGATCCCAAAGTGATCCAAAATATCGGGATGTCGTGGGTAATCTCATTCAAATTCCACCTGCAAAATTCATCAAAATTGTCCAAATCCCCACTTCGCGGAGATCCTGAAATTTCTGTCCAAGACCTTCCAAGACGATCCTTTTGGAAGGTGCACCGCCTGAGAAAGTTGCAGCAGTTCGGTGCCAATGCCTGGCGAACAGCTCACAATCCACCCAATGAAGCGTTGCTGGCGGCGGCGGATCGACTTGGCATCCTGGTTTGGGATGAGAACCATCGGAATGGCCAGGATAGTGAGATGGAGGCGGCCTGGCTCTACTGTACATGATTTACATATATTTACACACACACATGTATATATCTATATATATATATACATATATATATATACATATTTAGATCGTTTGTGGCAGTATTTACATGTAAATTATATATATATGCATGTGAATATATACATATATATATATATACACATTATATTTCAAGTCTATTTCAAGTCTGTTTCATCTATTTTTTAGAATTATTTCCCTCTGCCTCAAAGATTTGTTTGATATCTGGTGCATGAACTATCGCAATGACATGCAGTGGCGTGATATTAGTAATACGTATATAATGGGATTAACAAAACAGTCGATATACGGTTGATACACGGCATACTATGGCATACGTGCAGGGGTGCAGCAAATCATTTTTGAGAGCCTCTTCATTCGTAGGTGATGATCAAGCGCGACAGGAATCACCCCAGCATTGTGATTTGGTCCATTTGCAACGAGACCCTTGGCTGGTCAATGCTTGATTTGTTTGCTCGAATTTGCGTTGAGGAGTCATTGATTTCTTCTGGGAATCTGAATGGGCCATGCTCAGACACAACAGTCAGGCGACTCTGTGACACTATCGATGCACGGGGGGATGCAAAGAGATTAAAGAATATTGCGCATCGGTTGGACCCACACATGGGCCGTGTGGTATCAGAAACTTGGTTGAAGAGTGCTGTGACTGCAACAGCAACTGGGATAACTGATCTTATAAATCTGATGCCTGGATCGTCCAGTCACTGTTAGTATCTGGACATCATTATGCAGATTTATGCAGAGCATAGAGCAGCTAAGGCAAATCACAATCCTTTCAACGGCCGTGCTACGCCCGTGGATTTGATGGGTTTTGACTATGGTCCAGAGATGTATGACAAGTGGCATGCTGAAGCGCCTACTGTTCCCGCCATCAGCAGTGAGACATCTTCTGCCTATTCTGATAGAGGCCAGTTCAAATTTGACAAGTCAGCATTGAGCTGCAAACACGGTTTGTCGATGCCCTTGATCATATGCCTTTCATCTCCAAGTGTGCCTTCCATTTTTGCAGGCCTCGTGTTCAACAATCGTCTAGAGGGTCACGTCCGAGACTATGACACTGAGCATCCATCGTGGGGGCAGACAGCTGAGGCATTTGGCCATTTGCTGGACTTGTCCACATCTGTAAGATCAAATTTGGATCTTTAGGTGTCTACATACGGAATATTGCATATATATATATATAGAGATATATATACTATATATATAAATATATATATATATAGATTGATGCATTTTGCTTGGAAAATGTTCTCTGCTTGCTAGACCAGTTCTTGCTAGACCAGTTCTTCCCGTCCCATGCCCGTCCGTATCGATCCTTGTGGCGTTTCCAGGTTGCTTGGCAAGCGATCCTCAGCAGACCCTTCGTTGCAGGCGGCTTCACGTGGACGGGCTGGGATTACCGTGGCGAGCCAACACCATACAGCTGGCCAGATGTTAACTCCCACTTTGGCATTTTGGACACCGCTGGCTTTTGGAAACACCGAGCTCATTGGTACTTGGCTTGCTGGACACCTGCCAGTGACGCACATGTGCTGCACCTACTTCCCCACTGGAATTGGGATTCCAACACAACGTCCAGGTGTGTTGGCTCTTGCATTGGACACCTTGTGGATGTTTGGGCATACTCCAACCTGGAAGAGGTTGAGCTGATTCACCCGAATGGCACTTCTCTGGGCCGTCAAAAGGCAACTCAGTGTTCCCATGTGGAATGGCCTTCTGTTGCCTATATGCCAGGAGAGTTATCTGCTCGCGGATATGTAGATGGCAAAGTGGTCAAGACAAGCGTTGTCAGAACCACTGGCTCACCAGTGGCGCTGCGAATAGGAATCATTGATGGGGTGGGAGCTGAGGGTATTGTTGCGAATGGCCAAGATGTTGGCCTGGTCTTTGTGGAGGTGGTTGATGACAAAGGGGATGTGGTGCCAACAGCCTCCAACCTCATCACTGTTTCAACGCAATCAGGTGCATTTCTGCATTTCACAAACTTTCAGAAACAGGGAATTCCTGGAAATAGTAGTAGCGGGAAAATATGGGAAACTGTTCAAGATCTTGTTCAGCAAACCTTGGTTGAAGCTGCCAGAACTCAAGACATGCTTCTTGGATCTGCCTCTACACATCTCACAGGATGGCACAACTAACTCCAGATCGGCTGTAGGGTCTTGTGCTTGTGGGACATGTAGCTGTGTTATTTTGCAAGTCCTTGCAATGGCTTGGCAGCAAAACAGGAAAGGCAGGCAAACAATCAAATTCAAACTGATGATGTGCATTCATATGCATTCATATAATTAGTACGAAGATGACATACATTCACTGCACCTATGTCCTCACATTTTTCACATTTTGTTCCCTTCCACTGTCATGCATTGGGGATGATCTCAGTATTTGGCAACCAGCGCAGCACAGGTATCCGGTAGATGGGTACGAATACAAACTTACAGCCCTTACAGGTGCATTAGCATCAGTTGTGTGTCAACACATTTTTCGTCATCTCTTCCGTATGTGTCCTTTATGCAGCTAGGGCCCGAATCTATAGACCATGGTAACGCACGAGGCCCAGGATTTACTGAAATGACAAGCATGAATCTTAAAGTTGTGCAAGTGTGCATGCGCATCTATCGCATAAAACTACCTAATTATAAATAGAATCTGTAAAGGATCGTAAAGGCATATGGATCACCTGGAAGTCCGGCTTCCGTTGCAGGTGCAGTGGTTCTGGGCACAGCCAACGGTGACCCATCCAGCTTGGAGCCCAACGACTCTCCTCAACGTCAGGCCTTTGGAGGTCGCCTCATGGCAGTGGTACGGCCATTGCCCGGCGCTAGCCACGCAACAGTCGTGGCAGAGGCCAAGCATTTGGCATCCGCAACGCTGCAGCTGAAGGTGCTGAGCAATCTTGGAAATCTCAGCGGAGTTGCTTTGTTCGTTTAGGTCCTGCATATCTTTGCCCCGCCAATTTGAAGAAAAGAGGAGTCGTCCTTGACCTGCAACTGTAGGAAATTGATGGAAGTTGTTTCTGGGTGTAGGACCAGTGTAGGAGGCAGGTACAAGCACCAGACATGAGACGAATGTTTTGGTGTGGACCGAGCGCGCTCAGGATGGCGGGTCCGCTTACGCACCGGCGAGCTGCATTTCTTGCAGGACAGGATCCAGCACATCAACAGTTTTGCAATTACTGATATGACTGCGTTCATTGGCCTCGGATCTGCTTTCTCTAGCCTGGCTTGGAGGAAGAGAATCTCTTGGTGGTGGACGATGCAAAGGACCTGCCCTACTGAGCCATACTGGATGTCTTTTGTTTTGTTTTTATTTTTCGCAACAATATGTCAAACAATTTGTCCAACCAAGCTGCACCCTGTGAGGAGAGGCCAGATCTGACCACAGTTGGCACTGAGGCAGCAAAATTCGAAAGAGACAATTCGTGGATGATGCTCGCCAAATTGAAGGGAACCCAGAGACATTGACGATTTCTTGTGAGGTTGCTGGGGCCCTCCAACGCCCATATGGCACCATCGAGTACAGTTTGTGGCTCTGTCCCAAGTCATTGCTTTCTGGCTGTTCCACATGATCCAACCATTTGCAGCTGTAACCTGCGACCTGCTACGACCTTGGCCTCTTTCCAGGCCTTTGGTCTTCTCTGGTTTCATTCGTGTGCGCTGCTCCGACCACCTTGTCGCACAGCTGAATGCACAGTGCACCTGGGCTCCACCATTGAGGTTTGAGAGCGTGGGGGAGTACAACTTGTACCGCACTTCCATTTGTTTCGAACATGTTGAAGATTAAAGCATTAACTACGTTTTTATGCACCAGGATGAACACGTGCTAAAACAAGGGAGTGACACAAAGTGAGTACAGATGCAACATCCTGCCCTCACTTTAGGTGACGAGCTGTTGGCAGAAGACTTAGGAGGGCTCCAACACAAAGTAGCATACAACCTCTCTCCCTGATACTTGTCCCTCATGGCGGTATAGTAAGGCCATGCAAAATGCACCCAGCCACGCCCTGTTCCTTCAGGGTGAGATGAAGGCCACTTTGTTTCTTTCAACAGTTTTCACCCTCAGAGAGCGCTGGCATAGATTTGGAGCTTCACATATGTTACTTTCACGCCGCAGGAAGGTGAGCAGCTCACCATTCGCTCACCTCTTCCGGAATTTGAAGAAATCTTACTGTCGTGCGCCTGGCAGCCCAGAAGCCAAGTCAGAAATCAGGACTGCAGTTGCTACCATGTGCTGCAGCTGAATTGTGTGGACAGATTGTTTCAGGCTGCAAAGCTGGGAGAGGCACTCATTGGGGAGGATGACGAAGGGACGAACTATGTCCTCGACACAGTGCTCGACTTAGAGCTGTTTAGTTTCCAGTCCTGGAAGTTCAAAGAGGAGTACGCCTGGCAGAGCGGTCAGGCACCAGCTGATTAAGAAGAAGTGATGCATTGATGACCGTTTCACTTCCAAGGTTTGGACAGTACATCAGATGGAGGGTGACTATAATCCAGCAGCACACCAAGAATGTCCAAAATAATCCAGGATTCAGGTAGTTCAAAATTCAAAACGTGAGTTCACCATAATTTCCATCATAATTTGTCAAGCAGTTTGTTTTCATGGTTGCTACCTCTGGCAGGTTCACTTCCACAACAATGCTAGGCCACCTTTGGAATGTCACTCTTGTCATCTCTTGTCTTTGTAGCTCCACTTTGCGGCACTTTGCCCCTTGTGTTTTTCAGTTTGGTGACCAGCTGCACGAAGCACGGTGCATTTCAGGTCCCCATTTGGATTCTCTTCCTTTCTTCATTTACAGCTACCTCCGCAAGTGGGCCAAAGGCACCTGTATGCGCTCATGACTCTGTGAAATCCAAAAACTTTACTGTATGTTGAACAGGCAGCCCGCAGGAGAATGCAGCTCAGAGGCCATGGCTTTTGAAGCTGATCAACTCAGAATGTGTTTGATTCTACTTAATTCCCTCCGAGCTCGCCAAATCCGTTGCAGGATGGTGGAACCAGCTTCATTTGGAAGACAGACTCTGCATCCGCCGAGGGTCCCCTGGAGTGTTCTGGCGTCGGAGGCCTACAAAGTAGGCAGAGCGCTGCGTCTATATCACAACTATCGTGGATTGTATTCGCAAAGTATTGTGGCAGCCATGTTTGTACCCTATGAAATCGTTGACATTAGCCCACCTTAGTCCACCAAGGTACTGAGTGTGGAGATGCAGGCGGGCCAACGATGTTGTAAGAGTTATGCTTGCACAAGTTACTCACCAGTTTCGTTTGACTGCCAGGAAGGTTACTTGCATGTCTTTCCACAATGGGTACTGAGCTCAAGAACTACCAGACTACCAAAGAAACTTTCACCTGCTGCATGTGTGTCGTCTTTGCGTTATTGTTGTTTGTATTTTCATGTTGCCGAGGTCCAGCACTTCGTTTGGCCCTTCCGTGGCAGGGGCGAACGGCGCACGATTGCCGCCAACATTGCGAGGCGTTGAGGAATAGCAATTGGAAGCGCAAAGTTTGGAGCGGAATCAGCTTTGGCATCTTTGGCAACTAGGTTTCAAGATGTTTCAAGATGTTTCAAGATGTTTCAAGATGTTTCAAGTGGTTTGGCAATTATAGGTTTCAAACTGGCATCGGCTTGGTCAGGCTTCCACCTGGCATGAGAGGATAGTGAAATGCGGCTGTACGGTAGTGAAAACTGTATGCTGGGGGCTACTCGTCGCTGTTGATGTTGCACGCTCTCAGTCGTAGTCACAATGGGAATGGACAATAATCGGCAGATATGCTTGAACAGCTTACATCACACGTTTTGTCCGGGTTTCCAACGTGCTCTGTCCGTCGGACTTGAAAGCATGTCCAGACATTCATGGAACCAGACAGGGCTAGGCCTCAAGCTCCACCATGTCGTGGAAATTCGATCCTGCTATCTCCTGCTGTCCATCCTTAAAGCTGGTTATTCTATGTGATTGCCTTGTTATGTTTTTCTTAATTTCCAGAGTCCAAGACCTCCCTTGGCTCAAGTCGTTTGGGAGAAGACCTCTCCAATCTCTTCAGCTTGTTTTGGCTCAAGATGACGACTTTCCTTTGAAGCCGTGAAGCTGGAGCCAGCTGGAGCCAGATGTCATGAGTGGAGAGGACCTGATTTGCACAGGGTGGACAGATGTGGACAGGAAAGGGACTTGTTGCTGATGCGCTCATGAACACTGTGAGATCCTGGCATCCTGTTTGGTGTTTAGTGTCACATCGAGAATAGCCAAGTCCATAAGGTTCAACAAGTTCATCCGTGTCTGTGTGTGTGCGTGGACAAATCCATTTGAAATCAGTTTTGCATCAGTGTGGCCCTCGGAAATGCAGCAATATCAGAATATCAGTTCCACAATGTTACACATATGGGAGGTGCCAAAATTATAGAACGGAAGTTGAGGAGTACGAAGGTACGGTTATTTACCGTACCCTGTTGTTCCATAATTCTGTTTTCCTCGGAAGGTATGAGAAAAAAACAAACTTATCTTAACTTACTCCTATTTTTTCGTCGTTCTATAATTCGGTTTGTTCTGCAATTATGTTTTCCACCATGTTTCCCACATTTACCAGTTTCGTTCTATATTTTTTTCCGTTCTATAATTAATTTTGCGTAAACCGTTCTATAATTCTGGTTTCTGTGTCACTTTTTTGCGGAGTCCCAGAAAGAAGAAGTTTGCAAGTGAATATGTGCCTGTGACCAAGTTTGGCGCAGCCCCTGCTGTGCCGACTGGCGAAGAAGCAGCAGTGAAGCTGTCAGAAATATGTACACAAAATAAACACATGGTGGGGTTTTCCAAGAAGGGTATCTACGGCAATTATACGTATGTGTATAGTTATGTGCTGTATACAAATATGCAATAGATATCATGCCGGTGCCAGAAATTATAGAGCAGAAAAAATAATTATAGAACAGGATCCGAAGCCGCGCGGAATCGGGATCCGGAGGAGTACGAAGGTACGGTATTTACCGTACTTTTGTACTCCTAATTTCGTTCTATAATCTTGGCACCTTCCAATATCTTTTAATCTTGAAATTGTGACATCAATCGCAGGATGCGCCGCCTGGCAGAGAGGCAGTTGGCCCCAGCTGCTGATATGTGGTACATCACTAAACAACCAAAATACAACTAATTACTAGATTTGTATAGACAAGTTGTTTCCTATTGTGTCTTGTACTGCGCTCGGTTTTGAAACAATTGTCTCACAACTACGCTGAGGAACCAGCCAATGTAGCTACAGCTGCTGGTGTGGAGGCCATGAACGTGCCATCTGCTGCGTTTAATCTTCTAATGATTCTAATGTTTAAATTTTAAACTTTAAAAAGCACCTCCAGGCAAGCAATTCAGCTGGTGAAGGAAGCCCCGAAGCAGTCCCTGAAAAGGCACGTGCTTTGCTTTAGGCATCGTCGCACTGGCACTTGCTGGATGGACATGGAAAGAAATGAGGGTAGTTTTGGGGCAGGCGCACCTTCGCTTTGCTATGAGTATTTTTTTCTGATTTTCAGAGTCTTCAGGGCTTACAAAACCAAGCAGATTTCAGGATTTCAGGATACTATTTTTGGCGTTCAATTCTACGGAGATTGCCTCATGAATCTCTTCAACAAAGGCCGGAACACCTGCCCAACCTGCAGAGCCTGTTGAAGAGAAGAAGCCGGAGGTAGATACAAATGCTGTGGAACGACGTGGCTTTTTCAGTGCACGAGTCATGAAGTCATGTTGATATCATTGGACTTCATTTGATACATGTTGATATCCATGAATTTTGCTTTGCTGTTTTGGTTCCTGGGACTGTGTCGGACAGAATCCACAAAAAAACTGAACATGCAAGGGAACAGGGTATAGAGAGCAACAAATTGCGAGCGTGTTTCTGCAACGCTTCTTCTTGTCAGCAGACAATTTCAAGAATAAGTTCAATGATGAGACTAAGACCCATCACATCCCCTTCTGCCTCTGGAACAAGTTGGTGTTTTGCAAGTAGACTGGAAATTGATTTCATTGAACGTGCTGCAGCATCTTTTTGAAAGCTGGGCATTTGGTTGCATGTCATGGAATTCTACAGCCCGTCATCAGAATCGTTGCAAGACTGTACATCTATGATCATCTATGTACATCTCGCAAAATTTCCGGGACAGTTGAATCCTGAACATGTTCCATGGTCAAAAGATGTCAAGGGCATGCTTTCCTGTTACGTGCTGCATGTTCCTTCAGGTGGCGCAGAGTGGCTCCAATGCAGCTGAGGCGGGGGTGTCATAGCGAATGGTTGCGTACACCTGTGTGAGTCCTTGGTTGCTTGGCACTTTGGCACCACGGCACCATGACAAAGAATTGACCATTCTTAGAGCCTTCCGAACAATTGTTCCCCACCTGCCAGGTGAGGGTTGTTAGATTTTATCAGAGTTGTTCTCCTCCTCCTCCTCGGCTAGCTGTCCTCCTCCTCCTCCTCTAGTTTCTCCTCGACCATGTCTGCATCAACTTCCACCTCCACTTCCGCCTTGCCAACTCTTCGCCAAGCTCTTTGCCAACTCTCTTCGCCAAGCTCTTTGCCAACTTCCCAGCTCAGTGTGCACTGGGACCTCAACCTGGGACCTGCCCAGCTCAGTGCGCACTGCTGGACGTCAACCTGCGAGCTGCCCAGCTCAGTGTGCACCGCTGGACCTCAACCTGCGAGCTGCCCAGCTCAGTGTGCACCGCTGGACCTCAACCGGGGACCTGCCCAGCTCAGTGTGCACCGCTGGACCTCAACCGGGGACCTTCCCAGCTCAGTGTGCACCGCTGGACCTCAACCTGGGACCTGCCCAGCTCAGTGTGCACCGCTGGACCTCAACCTGGGACCTGCCCAGCTCAGTGTGCACCGCTGGACCTCAACGGCCAGATAGAATGCCAGAAGATATAACAGATTGAATGTCAGATAGAATGCCAGAAGATATGCCAGATAGAATGCCAGAAGATATGCCAGATAGAATGCCAGAAGATATACTAGATAGAATGCCAGGAGATATGCCAGATAGAATGCCAGAGGGTATGCCAGATAAAATGCCAGAAGATATGTCAGGAAGCTATGCCAGATAGAATGCCAGAAGATATGCCAGAAGATATGTCAGATAGAATGCCAGAAGATATGCCAGATAGAATGCCAGATTATTTGCCAGATAGAATGCCAGAAGATATGCCAGAACATATGCCAGAAGATATGCCAGATAGAATGCCAGATAGAATGCCAGAAGATTTGCCAGTAAGAAAATGTATAAATGTCATGGTGGGGATCACGCGAAGTAAAGTATTTTTTTTTTGGGCTGCCTTGGGAAAGATTTCAAGATTACAGGCAGTGTTCCCAGCCGGACCCGAACAGCAACCTGTGGATCAAAGTGTTCCCCGCCGGACCTCCACCGCAAGCTCCGGATCAAACTGTTCCTCCCTGCCGGGATTCAACCGCGAGCTCCTGATCAGAGTGTTTCCCGCCGGACCTCAACCACAAAGAATCTCCGAAGATATACCAGATAGAATGCAATGCAATAAAGAATTTCAGAAGATATCCCAGATAGATGCAAAAATATATGCCAGAAGGTATATCAGAATAGATGCCAGATAGAATGCCAGAAAGAATGTCAGAGTATATGCCAGAAAGAATGATTTCCAGATGGTAGGTGAGAAACTGTGTCAGAAGAACGGGTCAGGGTGGGGATCACTGGAAGAAAGTAGTTCAAGTTTTTTTTGGCGTTCAATTCTACGGAGGTTGCTTCACAAAACATTTCAGTGATTTTTCATTCAAGCGGCTTCAAAAAAGGCCGGGGCAACCACCTCACCTGCAGAGCCTGTTGAAGAGAAGAAGCCGGAGGCACATACAAACTAGTGTGGAATGACATTGCCTTTTCAATGGGGGATATCATGTGATACATTTTGAGATCTATGAATTTTGCTTTGCTGTTTTGGTTCCCTGGGACACAGCTGGATATAGCAAAACAATTCGAGGGCTAGGGCGCTTTTAAATCGTAGCTTTTGCAGTGACATTGACTCTGCATGCACGCCTAGGCAGCAGCAACAGGAGAGCCAAGTGCCCTTGCCGAGGCCGCAGCTTATGTGCACAATTCTGCCATACGGCTCTCATCCGTTCTGTAACAATTGTGAATCCTAGTGAAGACGCAAGGGGAAAACGGCACAAAACACATCCGCCTATGAATGCAAAGGTTCTTTGTGTCAACAGATGCTCGATGATACTTCGATCCAGGATCCCAATGGACCAAAATCCGCACAAGCCGTTTGCGGCTGTGATCAATGCATACGAGTGCTGCTTCTGATCCCAAATACCTGCTAAAAAATCTTAAAAAGTGATTGGTGCTGCTGACCTTTGCGCATGAATCCTTGTTGAAATGGAGGTTGAAGGACCCACCCAAGCTGCAGAACCTGTTGAAGAGAAGAAACCAGAGGCAGCTTCACCCCAGCAAGCAGGGCTCAATATTTCAGCATCGCGCATGGAGATTGAAGGAACACACAAGGGGGGGTTGACCAACGAATCATGGGGTGCCAGCGGGACGCGCGGCTCTTTTGGTTGGGCGCTCGATGTTCCGAGACGAATATGACAAACCCATGACACACCCAATGGTTTTGATCTATTTGACATCTGGGTCTCGGATTTCAGGTGCAGTTCCCATTTTTAGACATCCTTGCATGTTGCCAGTGAAGCACAGCATGGTGAGGCAACCGCAACAGAAGCAGGTGAGGCAAGCCCAACAGCTGAGGCCGAAACTTTGTGATTCACAGCTGCTTGTTACAAGATGTCATGAATCAACAACAGAAGGTCCTTCTGATAGTTTAGGTGAAAAACTTCCAATCACACAAGACATTTGGGTCCATTGGGCGCAAACTAGATTCTTGGGAGTTGGTCCTCCGGAATTCATACGGACATTCCTTCAAGACTCGTGAGCAGTGCCGATCAAAAGTTGCCAAGAAGGCTGTGGTGGGACCTGCTCCATCAACCCAGCCAGTGGAAGAGAAGCCGGAGGCGCACCAGTTGTATGGGAATGCAGTTTCTCCACCGACTGCAAATCTCATTGAGTTAACTGTCAAATTTTGGACAAGTTCTATCCAAATGACCGGAAACAAATGCACCTTCAACTAGCCTTTCTCCAATTGCAGAGCTTATTGAAGAGAAGAAGCCGGAGGCACATACAAACGAGTGTGGAATGACTTTTCTCTTTCATCGCGGGAGTCATGAAATCATGCTGATATCATGTGATACATTTTGAGATCTATGAATTTTGCTCTGCTGTTTTGGTGCCTCGGACCCTACAGCCCATTATATATCTCCTTTGAAAGGAGCAGCAATTGTGCAGAGCATGCAATAATTCTTTCAAACATGTGCTTGTATTTTTACATTTTCACAAAGGTACAGTACACAATTCACTGCAGAAAGCAGGGTTGTTTTGAAGATGCAGGATCTTCAAAAAAAAGTTTGTTCACGATACAGCTGTTTTTTCAGGAAGTACATTTCTCAAGTTTCAGCTGCGCTTTCATGCGCAAAGTGTATTGTTTCCCTGCAAGTGTGTTACTTTTTTTCAACAAGGCAGCGCTTTTAAGGCAAAATATAGGTGATGCCTGGAAAAAGGTCTAGATTCAATCGTAGTTAAACTATCTTTTGAAGAAGTGCATGTTCAATCTGGACATGTTCTTTTTCGAAAAGCATTCATGAACAGCATGAAAGGATGCAGAACACTTTTCAGAAAATGCAGAATTTGCAGCTGGAAATTGCACTCATGTCTGTTCAATATCAAATACATATTTTTTGAGAAACATAAATTATTGTGAAAAAAACAAATGAATTTGTCAAATAGTGCGTGTATGTATACACGGTAATATGTACAACAGCATAATGCAGAATTCGTTTTTCATTGAAAGCTGGGCATTTGGTCCGCATGTCATGCCATGGAATTCTACAGCCCGTCATCACGATCTATGATCGCCTATGTACATCTCGCAAAATTTCCGGGACAGTTGAATCCTGAACATGTTCCATGGTCAAAAGATGTCAAGGGCATGCTTTCCTGTTACGTGCTGCATGTTCCTTCAGGTGGCGCAGAGTGGCTCCAATGCAGCTGAGGCGGGGGTGTCATAGCGAATGGTTGCGTACACCTGTGTGAGTCCTTGGTTGCTTGGCACTTTGGCACCACGGCACCATGACAAAGAATTGACCATTCTTAGAGCCTTCCGAACAATTGTTCCCCACCTGCCAGGTGAGGGTTGTTAGATTTTATCAGAGTGGTGTTTTGCAAGTAGACTGGAAATTGATTTCATTGAACGTGCTGCAGCATCTTTTTGAAAGCTGGGCATTTGGTTGCATGTCATGGAATTCTACAGCCCGTCATCAGAATCGTTGCAAGACTGTACATCTATGATCATCTATGTACATCTCGCAAAATTTCCGGGACAGTTGAATCCTGAACATGTTCCATGGTCAAAAGATGTCAAGGGCATGCTTTCCTGTTACGTGCTGCATGTTCCTTCAGGTGGCGCAGAGTGGCTCCAATGCAGCTGAGGCGGGGGTGTCATAGCGAATGGTTGCGTACACCTGTGTGAGTCCTTGGTTGCTTGGCACTTTGGCACCACGGCACCATGACAAAGAATTGACCATTCTTAGGGCCTTCCGAACAATTGTTCCCCACCTGCCAGGTGAGGGTTGTTAGATTTTATCAGAGTTGGTGTTTTGCAAGTAGACTGGAAATTGATTTCATTGAACGTGCTGCAGCATCTTTTTGAAAGCTGGGCATTTGGTTGCATGTCATGGAATTCTACAGCCCGTCATCAGAATCGTTGCAAGACTGTACATCTATGATCATCTATGTACATCTCGCAAAATTTCCGGGACAGTTGAATCCTGAACATGTTCCATGGTCAAAAGATGTCAAGGGCATGCTTTCCTGTTACGTGCTGCATGTTCCTTCAGGTGGCGCAGAGTGGCTCCAATGCAGCTGAGGCGGGGGTGTCATAGCGAATGGTTGCGTACACCTGTGTGAGTCCTTGGTTGCTTTGCACTTTGGCACCACGGCACCATGACAAAGAATTGACCATCCTTAGAGCCTTCCGAACAATCGTTTTTTGCTGCCTTGGGAGGGGTGTCAAGATTTAAGGTTTCTTTTTTAATTCTTTTTTGGCGTTCAATTTTACGGAGATTGCTTCATAAATCGCTTCAGTGATTTTTCAAGCGGCTTCAATAAAGGCCGGGGCAACCGCCTCACCTGCGGAGCCTGTTGAAGAGAAGAAACCGGAGGCAGATACAAATGCTGTGGAATGACTTTGCCTTTTCAACGCGGGAGTCATGAGATCATGCTGATATCAAGTGATACATTTTGAGATCTATGAATTTTGGTCTGCTGTTTTGGTTCCCTGGGGCACAGCTCGATATAGCAAATCAATTCAAGGGCTAGGGCGCTTTTAAATCGTAGTTTTTGCAGTGACATTGACTCTGCATGCACCCCTAGGCAGCAGCAACAGAGGAGCCAAGTGCCCCTGCCGAGGCAGCAGCTTATGTGCAAAATTCTGCCATACGGCTCTCATCCGTTCACAATTGTGAATCCTAGTGAAGACGCAAAGGGAAAACGGCACAAAACACATCCGCCTATGAATGCAAAGGTTCTTTGTGTCAACAGATGCTCGATGATACTTCGATCCAGGATCCCAATGGACCAAAATCCGCACAAGCCGTTTGTGGCTGTGATCAATGCATATGAGTGCTGCTTCTGATCCCAAATACCTGCTAAAAAATCTTGGAAAGTGATTGGTGTTGCAGACCTTTGCGCATGAATCCTTGTTGAAATGGAGGTTGAAAGACCCACCCAAGCTGCAGAACCTGTTGAAGAGAAGAAACCAGAGGCAGCTTCACCCCAGCAAGCAGGGCTCAATATTTCAGCATCGCGCATGGAGATTGAAGGAACACACAAGGGGGGGTTGACCAACGAATCATGGGGTGCCAGCGGGACACGCGGCTCTTTCGGTTGGGCGCTCGATGTTCGGAGACGAATATGACAAACCCATGACACACCCAATGGTTTTTATCTATTTGACATCTGGGTCTCGGATTTCAGGTGCAGTTCCCATTTTTAGACATCCTTGCATGTTGCCAGTGAAGCACAGCATGGTGAGGCAACCGCAACAGAAGCAGGTGAGGCAAGCCCAACAGCTGAGGCCGAAACTTTGTGATTCACAGCTGCTTGTTACAAGATGTCATGAATCAACAACAGAAGGTCCTTCTGATAGTTTAGGTGAAAAACTTCCAATCACACAAGACATTTGGGCCCATTGGGCGCAAACTAGATTCTTGGGAGTTGGTCCTCCGGAATTCATACGGACATTCCTTCAAGACTCGTGAGCAGTGCCGATCAAAAGTTGCCAAGAAGGCTGTGGTGGGACCTGCTCCATCAACCCAGCCAGTGGAAGAGAAGCCGGAGGCGCACCAGTTGTATGGGAATGCAGTTTCTCCACCGACTGCAAATCTCATTGAGTTAACTGTCAAATTTTGGACAAGTTCTATCCAAATGACCGGAAACAAGTGCATCTTCAACTAGCGTTTCTCCACTTGCAGAGAAGAAGCCGGAGGCACATACAAACTGATATCATGTGATACATTTTGATATCTATGAATTTTGGTCTGCTGTTTTGGTTCCCTGGGGCACAGCTGGATATAGCAAATCAATTCAAGGGCTAGGGCGCTTTTAAATCGTAGCTTTTGCAGTGACATTGATTCTGCATGCACCCCTAGGCAGCAGCAACAGAGGAGCCAAGTGCCCCTGCCGAGGCAGCAGCTTATGTGCAAAATTCTGCCATACGGCTCTCATCCGTTCTGTAACAATTGTGAATCCTAGTGAAGACGCAAGGGGAAAACGGCACAAAAAACATCCGCCTATGAATGCAAAGGTTCTTTGTGTCAACAGATGCTCGATGATACTTCGATCCAGGATCCCAGTGGACCAACATCCACACAAGCCGTTTGTGGCTGTGATCAATGCATATGAGTGCTGCTTCTGATCCCAAATACCTGCTAAAAAATCTTGGAAAGTGATTGGTGTTGCAGACCTTTGCACATGAATCCTTGTTGAAATGGAGGTTGGAGGACCTGCCCAAGCTGCAGAACCTGTTGAAGAGCAGAAACCAGAGGCAGCTTCACCCCAGCAAGCAGGGCTCAATATTTCAGCATCGCGCATGGAGATTGAAGGAACAAACAAGGGGGGGTTGACCAACGAATCATGGGGTGCCAGCGGGACACGCGGCTCTTTCGGTTGGGCGCTCGATGTTCCGAGACGAATATGACAAACCCATGACACACCCAATGGTTTTGATCTATTTGACATCTGGGTCTCGGATTTCAGGTGCAGTTCCCATTTTTAGACATCCTTGCATGTTGCCAGTGAAGCACAGCATGGTGAGGCAACCGCGACAGAAGCAGGTGAGGCAAGCCGAACAGCTGAGGCCGAAACTTTGTGATTCACAGCTGCTTGTTACAAGATGTCATGAATCAAGAAGGTCCTTCTGATAGTTTAGGTGAAAAACTTCCAATCACACAAGACATTTGGGTCCATTGGGCGCAAACTAGATTCTTGGGAGTTGGTCCTCCGGAATTCATACGGACATTCCTTCAAGACTCGTGAGCAGTGCCGATCAAAAGTTGCCAAGAAGGCTGTGGTGGGACCTGCTCCATCAACCCAGCCAGTGGAAGAGAAGCCGGAGGCGCACCAGTTGTATGGGAATGCAGTTTCTCCACCGACTGCAAATCTCATTGAGTTAACTGTCAAATTTTGGACAAGTTCTATCCAAATGACCGGAAACAATTGCACCTTCAACTAGCCTTTCTCCAATTGCAGAGTATATTGAAGAGAAGAAGCCGGAGGCACATACAAACTAGTGTGGAATGACGTTCCCTTTTCAACGCGGGAGTCATGAGATCATGCTGATATCATGTGATACATTTTGAGCTCTATGAATTTTGCTCTGCTGTTTTGGTTCCCTTGGACACAGCTGGATATAGCAAATCAATTCAAGGGCTGGGGCGCTTTTAAATCGTAGCTTTTGCAGTGACATTGACTCTGCATGCACCCCTAGGCAGCAGCAACAGAGGAGCCAAGTGCCCCTGCCGAGGCCGTAACTTTTGTGCAAAATTCTGCCATACGGCTCTCATCCGTTCTGTAACAATTGTGAATCCTAGTGAAGACGCAAGGGGAAAACGGCACAAAAAACATCCGCCTATGAATGCAAAGGTTCTTTGTGTCAACAGATGCTCGATGATACTTCGATCCAGGATCCCAATGGACCAAAATCCGCACAAGCCGTTTGTGGCTGTGATCAATGCATATGAGTGCTGCTTCTGATCCCAAATAGCCGCTAAAAAATCTTAAAAAGTGATTGGTGCTGCTGACCTTTGCGCATGAATCCTTGTTGAAATGGAGGTTGAAGGACCCACCCAAGCCGCAGAACCTGTTGAAGAGAAGAAACCAGAGGCAGCTTCACCCCAGCAAGCAGGGCTCAATATTTCAGCATCGCACATGGAGATTGAAGGAACAAACAAGGGGGGGTTGACCAACGAATCATGGGGTGCCAGCGGGACACGCGGCTCTTTCGGTTGGGCGCTCGATGTTCGGAGACGAATATGACAAACCCATGACACACCCAATGGTTTTGATCTATTTGACATCTGGGTCTCGGATTTCAGGTGCAGTTCCCATTTTTAGACATCCTTGCATGTTGCCAGTGAAGCACAGCATGGTGAGGCAACCGCAACAGAAGCAGGTGAGGCAAGCCCAACAGCTGAGGCCGAAACTTTGTGATTCACAGCTGCTTGTTACAAGATGTCATGAATCAACAACAGAAGGTCCTTCTGATAGTTTAGGTGAAAAACTTCCAATCACACAAGACATTTGGGTCCATTGGGCGCAAACTAGATTCTTGGGAGTTGGTCCTCCGGAATTCATACGGACATTCCTTCAAGACTCATGAGCAGTGCCGATCAAAAGTTGCCAAGAAGGCTGTGGTGGGACCTGCTCCATCAACCCAGCCAGTGGAAGAGAAGCCGGAGGCGCACCAGTTGTATGGGAATGCAGTTTCTCCACCGACTGCAAATCTCATTGAGTTAACTGTCAAATTTTGGACAAGTTCTATCCAAATGACCGCAAACAATTGCACCTTCAACTAGCCTTTCTCCAATTGCAGAGCTTATTGAAGAGAAGAAGCCGGAGGCACATACAAACTAGTGTGGAATGACGTTCCCGTTTCAACGCGGGAGTCATGAGATCATGCTGATATCATGTGATACATTTTGAGCTCTATGAATTTTGCTCTGCTGTTTTGGTTCCCTTGGACACAGCTGGATATAGCAAATCAATTCAAGGGCTAGGGCACTTTTAAGTCGTAGCTTTTGCAGTGACATTGACTCTGCATGCACCCCTAGGCAGCAGCAACAGAGGAGCCAAGTGCCCCTGCCGAGGCCGCAGCTTATGTGCAAAATTCTGCCATACGGCTCTCATCCGTTCTATACAATTGTGAATCCTAGTGAAGGCGCAAGGGGAAAACAGCACAAAACACATCCGCCTATGAATGCAAAGGTTCTTTGTGTCAACAGATGCTCGATGATACTTCGATCCAGGATCCCAATGGACCAAAATCCGCACAAGCCGTTTGTGGCTGTGATCAATGCATATGAGTGCTGCTTCTGATCCCAAATAGCCGCTAAAAAATCTTAAAAAGTGATTGGTGCTGCTGACCTTTGCGCATGAATCCTTGTTGAAATGGAGGTTGAAGGACCCACCCAAGCCGCAGAACCTGTTGAAGAGAAGAAACCAGAGGCAGCTTCACCCCAGCAAGGGGGGCTCAATATTTCAGCATCGCACATGGAGATTGAAGGAACACACAAGGGGGGGTTGACCAACGAATCATGGGGTGCCAGCGGGACACGCGGCTCTTTCGGTTGGGCGCTCGATGTTCCGAGACGAATATGACAAACCCATGACACACCCAATGGTTTTTATCTATTTGACATCTGGGTCTCGGATTTCAGGTGCAGTTCCCATGTTTAGACATCCTTGCATGTTGCCAGTGAAGCACAGCATGGTGAGGCAACTGCAACAGAAGCAGGTGAGGCAAGCCCAACAGCTGAGGCCGCACCTTTGTGATTCACAGCTGCTTGTTACAAGATGTCATGAATCAACAACAGAAGGTCCTTCTGATAGTTTAGGTGAAAAACTTCCAATCACACAAGACATTTGGGTCCATTGGGCGCAAACTAGATTCTTGGGAGTTGGTCCTCCGGAATTCATACGGACATTCCTTCAAGACTCGTGAGCAGTGCCGATCAAAAGTTGCCAAAAAGGCTGTGGTGGGACCTGCTCCATCAACCCAGCCAGTGGAAGAGAAGCCGGAGGCGCACCAGTTGTATGGGAATGCAGTTTCTCCACCGACTGCAAATCTCATTGAGTTAACTGTCAAATTTTGGACAAGTTCTATCCAAATGACCGGAAACAATTGCACCTTCAATTAATGTTTCTCCTACAAAAAATGTTCTGTCGGATTTCGGGCGCATTTTTAGACATCCTTGCATGTTTCCAGTGAAGCACAGCATGAGGCAAGTGCAACAGAAGCAGGTGAGGCAAGCCCAACAGCAGAGGCAGCAGATTTGCACCGAGGTCTTAACATTGATATGGAGCTCCATATGTGTGATGGTCGAAGCATGTCAAAAGTTGGAATGACCATACCATATGACACCCCCAGTGTGGTCTTTTGACCGTGGGCATTCGCAAAATTAAATTGGTTATGCAGGGGATGATCAGTTCATTTCTGGGTTGAGGCTGAGGGGTGCTTTAATTTTGTTCCACCAGTGCATGTGCAGATTGATTCAGACATTGTGGCGACACCAAAGACGTCAAATCGTATTGTCCAATTTCTTGGATGATTAAAGTCGGCAAAAAAAGCGAGAGCAGTTGCGATCCAATGAAGAGTGGAGTCTACCCATGTGCTACTTCCTATTCCCACCACCTATTTGTTAGATTTTTCCCAACCCTTTTGATTTTATGCCCACATCAACCTACTTGTGCTGGCCCCCTTCCCCCATTTTTTCCAGGAGTGAGGAGGGTTCGACAAAAATGCAAGCTGTCACCATCCATGTCATTACTTATATTATATGCAGGTTCAAAAACAAAAACAAAAAAACGGCCAGCGTGTGCCTGTGGTGCAAGTGTTTCTTTGGCGTCTCTTCATTGCAAGAAGTGGTGGCTGGGATGATGCCTGTGGATATGACACACTCCAACACGTCCACGATGTAGTTTTTCTTGTGCTTGTTTGCAGATCTCTCTTTTCCCGCAACGTGCAACTTGCAGGGTAAAGAATCAACTGCAGAAGCAACCCCTTCTGTAGAGATTCCGCAGGAGCCAGACTCCCTTTGAGCCTTCTGGAATCGTTCACGTTTCCAGGGAACATTTTGTCTGACTTTGAAGCAGGATCTGTCAACTACAGAATAGAAGCAAGAAGAGACAGAGCGGCACAAGGAGCATGCGGTGGCTACTTTTGCTCCAGTTGTGCTTGAATCTACTAGTCTTTCTTAAGATTCTTGAGCACCAAACATCATGGAGCATGAATTGAGCTGTTAAAGATGCGTGTAGATTTGTGAAGAATGCTGGTCAGAACTTGTTTGATGGATGAAATTGCGGACAGATGTGTGTCTGCACTACACGTGCTGCATAATTTGAGTCATTATTTACGTTGACTGGAGGATCAGCGAAAGGAGCCGCTTGCAAATATATCAGGGCTTGGGTTCAGACGTGGTCAGATGCCGTCAGCTTGCCATCTTGTGGTGGCAGTGGAAGTGCAATTGGAAAAATTGCAATTGGTCCATGTATGTCCAGGTAGCAATCAAAGAGGGTACGTGCTGCTCGTGCATGTCCCACATGGTTCCAGTACTCAGTACTGCCACATACTGCCACTGATTTTAAACTTTCCAGGTCGCCGGAATTCAATTGGTCCTCCTTGAGTGTGGCCACCGAAGATGTGCTGGACACAGGGGCGGTTGGGAATTTGCAACATTTTGCAACAAAGGGATACATATACAAACATATACAAATCCGTTGCTTCTGACTGATGTTTCTCTCATGACAGACGATTCAGGGATCGTGCGATATCATTTTGTCAGGCCGACACCACCCTGAAACATGTCGGCATGTCGGTCTGATAGCCTTTAAATGTCTTAATTAAACAATTATGTAAAGATAAATGTAAATACAAGTAAAATCAAGTAAATAAATAGATAATTAATTTAAAATAAACAAATAAACAAATAAATATGTCTCTTGTACATTGTGTATATATGCATGTAAATAAACACGCTGGCAATGGCAGGAGAGCCTCGAGACTGCAGTGCAGTACACCTCCATGGCGCAAAAGCTGCGTGCAAAGGGCCTCATACCCCGAGCTATCAGGACCAAGATGGACCAAGTCAAAGCAATTGCGTTATTCAAGTGATCAATATGTGAGCTAGCTATGCTGCTGTGTATGCAGCTCCATGCAGTGATACTGTGATACATGTTGTTCCATGTTGTCACAGTCACATGATGTTACTGTACATGTTGCTAGCACATGTTACATGATGTTGTTGCATGATGTTGCCACATGGTATTGCATGATGTTTCATGATGTTCATGATTGATTCATTTATGGTGTTCATGATTCATTCATGATGTTGCATGTCGTTCTGCCAACTGTGCATAACTTTGCATCTGTATTCAGGATGATGGAACGTGCTTTGATGATCACAGAACGGTCTGAGCTAGAGCACCCTGCGCTGGCATTGGACATGGGCTCAAGAGCGGGTGATGGATAGTGATTGTGATTGCGCTGTAGTTGCTGGGGCTGTCGCCTCTTGTGCGCACTGAGGAAGCTTGCAAAGTGCGCTTGAACTTTGCTGCTTACCTATCCGAGGGCTACCGAAACAGAGAGGCAGTGAAAGTGATCAAGGACACTCAGAGAGTCGAAAACAGGTGAGCATAGCCTAAACATGTTGGCTTTTGTGGTGATGCTGTTTTCAAATGTGTTCAAGAGTTGGGATTCTAACAGAGAAATAACATGTCAAAGATGTCAAGGAGGCCCTTGCATGGTAGAAAAAGCACTTTCCCTTGTTCAAATGGCAGGAGGCACAGGATAGCTTGACGAGGCTGGCACAATGGGCACTCCAATGCCCACCCGAAGACTTGGCAGTGCAGGCCAGGGGGAAGGGAACGAGGCAAATTGGGTAATGGAGAAAGAATAACCCCGTTTGGAAACAAGCTGTGAACTCTGAGCATCTAGTGAATCTAGTCATAAGAAACATGAAGAAACTATGAGCACATCCTTTTCGCCTTCATTTGTTCCGACAATGCCTGCCAGTAAGGCCTTGGGTCGGGAAGCACGAACTTTGCATTGCTCCGCAGTGGTTGCAGAGGCTCCCTCAACTTCTCGTCACTCCACCATTGAGCTAACTGAACAGTTAGAAACATTGGCAGACTGAACGGTTGGAACAGTCGTCAAAGATCGTTAAAGGCTGTAGCATGATTCAACAGGTTTCGGAAAGGCAGTGGTCGCAGTATTGCAGTCGCTATTGAGACCAAAGTCCCCAAGCTACATAAACTTACATCAACTTACATCAACTTACATCAACTTACATTTTCTTTTTTTTTGTGGTGTTTTCTCTTCAGATCTTCGATAATCAAAGTTAACCCCATCAACATGCTTGCATTCAGCAGTGAATGCAGGCAGCTGCCCTGGATCTTTTCGAAGACGACGAGCAGCCGCCCTTAGCAGAGATGTCTGAGGAGTTGAAGGCAGGGGTGAGATTTCTGATCGAGAAATATCATGAAATGATTGAATAAAGATTGACTGTTATTGAGAAGTGAGAAAGAACATGAAAGAACATGAAAGAACTTAGGCTTTCAATATGTGCCAACATCCTTCCATGTTCCTTGCAGGAAGCGGCACGCGCAACTTCGTCGACTATGCCTCCAGATTCTTGGAGTGAAAGCCAGAGAGTGACTGTGTATGACTGTGTTGTTTCATGTTGTGTGGACATGTATAGAATTCCGAGTGCGCCTCAAGCAGCCTGAAACCATCTGTAACCTAGCAGCTATAGCAAGTTGAAGGATCATCCCTTGCCCTTCTTGGTGCGAAAAGCTTTTGGCACGTCTGCTGCGAACCGGACGAGTCAGAGGAGGCGTTCTGTGCTGAAGGATGTTAGGAAGCTTGGCCAAGCGAGACCATGCTTCCACATTGAGGCATCCATGAGAAGAGTCACGTCAAATGGCTGTCTAAAAACTAGGGGAACACCACCAAATGGGCATTCTAAGAATGACAATGATGCTAAACCATGGGATTTTTAGGGTGCAAATGGGTGCACTATGTTCAGCACTGATGCCCATGCAAGCATAGACTGTAGAGCCAGCGCGCAAGCTCAGCATGTTGTGCTCAGGAGAATGACTGTCTCCAACATTCCTTTATCACCCACAGCAGCTCCTGCAGGAGTGAGAAACAGAATGAATTCCTGGCACCTGGTGCAACTCCAGTTTAGTTTTGGCACTGTGCCAACCATTGTCTGAAAAAAGCACTGATCCCGGTAACAAGATCTTCCCAGGTGGCTTTTCATGGCTTTTCCATCGTGGATACGTTGGGAAGTGAAGTGAAGCTAGGCGAGCTGTATCGAGTTGTGATTGGCAGGAGAAGATCCACTCCCTGCAGTCACAGCTCCACCTGAGACAGAGCTTCCGAAGCTGGAGACACCTCCGCAGGCCAAGAACAAAAAGCGCTTGGATGAACCCCGGCTCGCACTTTATGGCCATAAATCATCATAAATCCGCATGTATATGTATATACATGTCCTGTAAATTATTGTGGAAATGGGTATGTATATGACTGTATGTGTATATATATATATGTGTGTGTGTGTGCATATGTATGTGTATATGTATGTGTATATGTATATGTATATGTGTATGTGTATGTGTATGTGTATATGTATGGTATGTGATGTATGGTATGTGATGTATGGTGATGTGATGTGATGTGATGTTACAATGTAATGTAATGTATATGTATGTACGTGTGTGCGTGTATGCGTGTGCACCGGTGTTTGGGAATCTCCTCGCATCACTTGAGATATGCAGATGGTGTTTTATCCAGATAGACATGCCAAGGATGCTACTGTAAGGTCAAGGTTGATGTTGTTTCTTCATGTTGTCTGCACATGTCTGCACTGAGGACTCACTATCGCGGTCGAAGCGCAGTGCCGAGGACATGCGAAAGCAGCACAATAAGAAAAACATTCAGAGAGACGATAGAGACGAGATAAAGCGCCACTTTGCACGGGCGGGGCACAGTTCGTTTTCAGAGGCAATCTTTGCTGTTTCATGTTTTTAACATGTTTGAACATGATTCGACAAGGACCGGGACGTTTTCAAACAGTACTTGCGGGATAGAGAGATGGCTCGTGTAGCCCATCTTCTTTCTCTCAGCAGCCTCCCAAGCTGATTGTAGAAGATTGATGTGACTTGTTGCTTACTGTTTCAATGACTACACGCTTGAATGGCGCGTGGACTGAGGTGATGATTGGGAGATGCAAACCCGGAGAAAACTCGAAGAGGTTCACCGGTGTCTTGGCAGCATGCTGGCAAGAAATCTGTTTGACTCAAGTGCAACCCAGCTCCGCGCCAGGCATTGTGTTCACAATTGTCGAAACCAAAAGAAAGATAAGAAAGAATCCCCAGTATATCCTTTTTCGCCCAGTGCCAATTCTCGTTTGGCTGCGGCGATCCGCGGCGATCCGCGGCCTGCGCATTGCGGCCGTTTGGTCCAACTTGATGTCGAGGCAGGCAAAGTTCGAGTTGGAGCTGACAAACGTTGACGAGCTCAAAGAGAAGCGCTACAGTAGACTTGGACACAAGGCAGGGCATGGATGGACAAAATGCAGGCGCATGACATTCCCGGATTCGCTGCAAGATACTGGAACATGCAGCTGATGAACAGTCCACGAAGCACAAGTGATTGCGTAGATGCTTGATGAATCTTGATGACGCCTGTCCAGCGTACAGATCGTACAGGTTTACATGCACCAAATGAAGACCATGAACAAATCTTGGAGTGACCCGAACATCAGCCATGGCCTCAACAGGACACCTGAGCTGAGCCATGCTGAGCCACAAGGATTCCTTTGCCTAGATTGCACCAAGCTGATCCAAGCTGTAGGTCGAGAAGCCAAGAAGGACAAGACCGCACCTGAGATTTTCCACTTGAAGAAGTTGAGTCGGAAAATATATGTGAAGCCACCAACGGTGTTAGCACCGGCACCTGCTCCACCACCAAAGCCCAAGGCAGGGAACGTGGGAAACCGCAGCAGACCAGACGGATCTATGCCGGGTGAACGAATGAAACACGCATTTCTACGTTTGAGATTCCACATGTTCCACTTTCTTCGTTCGACGTTCATGCCTCGTAATATCTCGTAATTAAGTGCCTCTTGCTCCCAGTGCGCCCGTTTCAGGTAGACCAAGCGCTAGCAGGTTCCATGAAGGCTTTGAGAGCAGAGGAGCATCAGTGAGACTTTCTGAAGAAGCATGAGAACGTTAAAAAGCCATGAAGTTGTCAAGGTTTATATACCATATTGCGGTGTGAAGTCGATCCAAGCTATGTATGAATAGACCTGTTTGCCAGATCCTTTGCCAACTGTATCCGATTCGCGTCTCACTTCTTGGTGCATCCGCACAGTCCAAGCAGCAGAAGCTGCCAAAGTGACCAAATAGTTTTCCAAGAAAATCAGCAAAAGCATGACCCAAAGGAAAGTAACCACCCAAAACTTCAAGGCAACGCTGCAAGAACAGCACTGCAATTTAGTTTTCCAAACTGTAGGCAGGCGTGAACAAACACACCAAAACCAGCAGATATCATCAGTGTGTGGGCAACGGTCATGCGGAAGGTGTAAAGGCTGTGGAAACGTGGAGCTCACCTTGTTCAGACCAGCTGCAAAGCAGGCCTTAGGTCTGTGAGGATTGCTCGGCCAGGGACTTCTTGGAATTCTGTCAATAAAATCTCTGCAGCTTGCGTGTCCCCATATGCTGCTATGCCTGCTGATTTCAGGGCACTGGCCAAAAGACACGCTGCGAGGACCAAACCCTTGCTATGATTGATTTTGCACACCCTATGGGCTCAGCATTGACCCAAGCGGCATCAGAAGATGACAACTGCTCAACAGCTTAGCGACAGCACCACCTAAGCATACCTAAAGGGAGGGATCAGGATAGCTGCGCGATGCCACCACACACAGTTGGGAACAAACCTCATGATTCCAAAGGATTCTGATGCAGTTCTGCAGTTCTGTACAATCTTAATGCTGTCAAAGATCTATTGCCGCTGTGGGGTGTGCATCCGAAGCCATTTTCGTATGGATGAAGTGAGGGCCTTAGCCGAGATTTGAATAGATTTTATTGATTCGTGCTGAGGTTTTGATTGGGACAGCTTGTTCTGAGATGTTCTGAGAGGCAGCATTGCCTCCCAGGCCATGCGGAAGTCTATGAAAGCCAACTCTGTGAGTTTCCACAGGCCGCTGACGCGTGCGACGAACATGATTAGACCGCACCATCTGGAAATATCTGGAAATAATTGGAATGTTTCCTGGAAGTAGTGATGCATAGCTGCTATAGCTTCCTTTCTGAAAATCCTCCACACATCAGGGCATATGTCATTGTCCTTTGAATTCCTTTGATAAGTTTTAAAGATATTGGTATCGTTTAACTGTGCCAAACCTTGCTTCGGGAGCTCGGCTGCCAGCAGGACGCATGGCTAGAGTTCCAGTATGCTTTCAGCTACCTGGACGGCTCGGACGACCGGCAACAGCACCAAGGCGTGGAAACAGTGGATAAGACATGACAAGACCAAGACGCCAGCACTTGGCCTTGCTTTGAGTGATCTTTTTGTTTCAAAAGGTGAAGATCCATGATGATCATGATGTCTCAGCGTGTTCCGACACAAAGATAATCAAAGATATATGAAGCAATACGAAGCGTTTAGTCATGTCATTTCATGTAATTTTGGATACTGATTAGTGTGGCCCCCCCAACAATTTTACGATACTCAATAAATCGACATTTTAAATGCTCCCCCCACAATCTTTAGGATAATAGTCAACTCAAGTAAGGATTTCAATTGACATCAATCTACTTTCAATTGATTTTCCTTTTAAATCCCAAAAAACATGGCCCCAAAAGTTTTTGTGCACAATAGGGTACCATCGAAACAATTACATTATTGAGGATCTGGGTCACGTGCTGCTTTTTAAAAACGGGTTTAATAAAGCATCTAATTATTTGGAAAACCTTGCATTTTCAAGGCTTTAACATGGATATGGCTTTCTAAAGTAAATGGACCAGCTTTACCCAAAGAAAGGTGTATAAAGGTGGATAAAGATCCTCCTGAACAAATTGGATCTGAGAAAAAACTTCTCACAATAGAGGCCCACCACCCCATTCACAAAATACTCAATTATTTTTGAAAATTGTCTCACAATAGAGTCCCAGGACACTAATCGGTATACTACATTAAAACAAGTGTGCGTGTGTGTGTGTGTGTTCGCCTTTGTGTTCATGACAATGTGGAGTTCTATGCAGGACTGACCTGCAGCAAGCAGCATCCTGGCTTCGGCAAGCTGAGATTGACCTACAGGCCATGTTTAAGATGGCCTCGAATTCCGAAGGGCCTTTCCCTTGTCATGCTATGACTGCTGCGAGCTTGGCCGCCTTGGCCGCTCAAGTGGTGGATATGGCCTTGAAGTCGGCAATGCTTCGACTGCAGGGCTTGACCCACGAAGAAATTGTAGGGCACCATTTCTCCGTTTTGCATCGACGCCTGCAGCATGCAGCAGTCCGGCATACGAAGGAGGATCTACCGGGAGATGTTTGCGATATGGAACGGCTGAAGAGCATTTACTTAGCCACGCATCCCACACACTCCAGTGCCCACGAAGTCGCGACTCAGCATCAAAGAAATGGGCTTTGTATGAAAGATGCAAAGCGAGCTGGAGTGATAGCACGCCAGATCTTTGACTGGGTGAAGGCATTGTCAGAGAGTCTTCAGGATATTCCAGGGAAAGGCAAAGGCGAAGCCAGAGACACCAAAGTCAGAGAACTTGAGGAAGATGGCATCAGTAGCGGTGGCAGCTCTGGCAGCTATGGACATGATTTTGAGGACGATTCGCCGAACTCTGCTTTGGAAACCAGAGAAATCAAAGAAACCCGAAGAAATCAAAGGATGCCTGTGGAAGTATGGACCGCGTCTGAGCTGAAGGAGGAAGCACTCCCAAAGGTCTCCTTCATGCCTGCGGAGCCAGAGGAGGACAGGTCACGCCAATGCAGTCTCTTTAGATGCATGTCATTGCGGTGGGATATGATTGTATGGCACGCATATGCACACGTGCACCGTGTGAAGGACGTCCAGCCTGAGGAGACAGTCTTGCTCCAGCCCCAGCATGTGCTGTGTAGGCGGTGTCTTGCAAGGGCTTTGACAGAAGACTTCGGCCTCGCTGTATTTTCAGGGAGGTTCGGTCGGTCAGCATCCCACCATATCCCACCCTTCCTTGGTTTCGGCATGTTTCTAGATGCCTTGCTCATGCCCAGGTCACAAAAAAACGCCTCTCTTTGTAGGGGTACTACCGAAGATGTGCTGGACATGTTCGGGGGGTCGGATGGAGCAAGTTGATGTCAATTGAATATACGGAGTGATAAATATGATAAATGATGATATCTAACAGACTAATCGATGTAGAAGAAGGGTTGGCACTTCCAGATGATTCTATTAAGCAGCATCGGCGACAGCAAGGCGTTGTCAGAGTCAGATCGAGTCGGATGGGATGGAAATTCTGCAAATAATATGCAAATGTGACATATGCGCGGCTCTGGCAGGATGGTCTCGAGACAGTGGTGCAGTACACGAATATGGCATGCCGTTTGCGTGCAAAGGGCCTCATGCCTCGAGCAATCAGGAGTGCTGCTGATGTCGAACATGGGAGTCCGTTGGAGATTTTGGAAATCGAATGAAATCGATGACCAATCAGCATCCAATGACACGTTATGTACTTATGTCACCTCTGCAGGATGATGGAGCGTGCGTTGATGATCTCACATCGCTTTGGGCAAGGTCATCCCGCTTTGGCTTTGGCCGCGAGCTTATATATCAGTCATTGTGTGTTTGTGTGCGCGCATGCGCTTACATTACATCTTTGGCCCGATTTCGGATTTTCATGCCCAAACCGCCAGACCGGCTTCTTTCTCAGGAAACTTGCAAAGTGCGCTTGAACTTTGCAGCATACTTATCCGAAAGCTTCCGCAACAGAGAAGCTATCAAAGCTATCAAGGACGGCTCGCAAACTTTTGCAACAGGTTTGAAAAGCACTGCACTCATCTGCAGAACACCCTTGAAAGTGTTGAATCATTTCAAATCCAATCAAGTGCCCAACAGATCCACATATATAGCCGGAAGGGGATGCAGCTTGTCAGGATTGAGCTCAGTCCAGCCAGCATTCAGAATTTGTGATGTGCCAGTTCCTCTCCGTTTTCTTTCCACCTGTCTCTTTTGTCTTGCACAACTGTTTGAAGCTGCTCACACCTGCCTCTGGCAAGCCTGTCCCGGTGCAATGATTTTCACTCCTGTGCACATATATAACGCATTGACAGATGCCGGTCGGAATGTAGAAACATAACATCAATGAGAACATGCATACCATGGCTCTTGGAAAAGCCATTCCCGTCACTTCCTTCTTGGACCCGCAAAAGAAGGCGAGGCCAAGACGAAACCAGAAATGTAATCACTTATGGTATATTATATATATATATATAATTATATATTATATATATATATACACGCGCAACGCCTGGGCTTTGCCCAGGCGTTGCAGCGTAGAGGGTCCCCATTGCCAATCAAATGTTGTTGCAACTCTGCATTCCATTGAGAAGATCAACAAAGGTATTAGGGAATACTAAAATCCCACCCCCGTTAAACTCTACATTCAATTGGGCAGATCAGCAAAGGCAGTAGGGAATATTGAAATCCCAACCCCGTTTAACTTTACATTCAATTGCGAAGATCAACAAAGGTATTAGGGAATATTAAAGTCCCACCCCCGTTAAACTTGACATTCATTGAGGATCTTCAGTAATGGTTTAATTATCCCACCCCCGTTAAACTTTACATTCATTGAAGATCTTCAATAAGGGCTTAATTCTCCCACCCCAGTTAAACTTCTACTGCTACATTCATTGAAGATCTTCAATAAGGGTTTAATTCTCCCACCCCAGTTAAATTTCTACTACTACATTCATTGAAGATCTTCAATAAGGGTTTAATTCTCCCACCCCAGTTAAACTTCTACATTCATTGAAGATCTTCAATAAGGGTTTGATGATGATGATGATGATTATGATGATGATGCTTTGTCTGTCGTGGTTGCGGTTCCGGGCAATGCCCAGGCATTAGCCGTATATATAATATATTTATCTACATTATATATACTATATTATACTATATTTTATTATATAATTATTATTTTTTATCATATGCTATATATATTATACTATATTATTATATTATATAGATTAGATTAGATTTTGCTATATTATAGTTCGCTATATTATATTTTACTATTTTTTAATATTAATAATTATATTCTTTTTGTATCATATGATATATGATCATATATACTTATTCACCTATTCATTTATTTGTTTATTTATTGAATTATTTATGCGTGTGTGTCATCATTTTTTGATATATATATATATATATATTGTATCTGATAGTTGAAAATGCATCCTCACGCCGATTTTGGACATATTGTAGCCAGTGATATTGTCTAGGGCGGTGCCCTGGCTGTAACATGCACAATGTCATCATATGTCATCGCCTGAGCCACTTGGCCAGGAGGCGCAAGAAAGCTTGGGACGGCTGGTGCAGTGGGCCGCTCAGTGCCCAGAAGAGTCAGCTGCGCAGGCCAGAAAGGTTTGACCGACGGTGACTGTAGTGACACACGAAGTGGCACATTTCCAGTGGAGCCTGCAATAAAGCTCACATTCCATGCCTTGATGTGAGTGTCCAATCATTTCCAGACACTATCATACACTTTCCATTTCAATTTTCCACGTATTTCAGCTTGATTCTCGAGATGAGAGGCTTTGGGCCGGGAAGCTTGCAATTTGCGTTGTTGCGCTCTGGTTGCAGAGGCGACTCCGATATAGCAAAGTAAAGCATAGTAAAGCCATGCAAATATTGTGCGATTCGTTCTGGACATGTGTTGCGCACCGACTAGAACCATATAACTTGCCACATATTGCCACAGTTCGTAAAGTGAGGCCATGGCATTGGATCTCTTGGAAGATGGGAAACCGCCACCGGAAGAGATCTCTGAGGAACTCAAGGCAAGACTGAAGTCAAGCTATGTCAAGCTGCTCGCGTTGGCTGCATTTGGCTGACCTAAAACCACTCTGATTCAGATTTCAGCCGCAAACATGTCCACACCAGATTTCTGCTGGAATATATTATGAATTGAACACATTTGAAAACATATGGCTCCTGGCCATTCCTGTCCCGGATATTCTTTGGCGCCACTGCTTGAGGATGTCGGCCTGAAGCGCACACTGTATCAATTATATTACTCTATGTCTATATCACATATCACCTTCTACCACCCTTTCATCCTAGTATGTTTGCTGATCATTTAGCGATCTCTACTTTGGAGATCCTTAAAGAGGTTTCAAGAGGATGGTCTGCCTGTACACGGTCGTTAAAATACGTGGTCAGGAAATGGCACGCGTGACCATTTCCAGTATGCCAGCCGATTCTTGGCAGCATGCTGCATAAGTAAGTTCTTGTCCGCTTATGTACGCTCTAGTTTTATCGTTGGCTCCTGACAACCCCCAAGTCATGCAAAATGGGGACAGCAGTCGTTTTATGTCGTGCTTATTGTTATCTTTATGATCTTTATGTGTGATGAGATGTGAGTGATTTCGTGAGGATCATCCGTTGCGGTCTCTGGTGCGCAGAGCACTGGGCAGCCACACAGCTCGCCCCACCGGCCAGAAGAAAAAGCTTCCGAGACTTAGCTAAACCTTGTTTTTCAACGGCTTTATAAACGCTAAAACTGTTAAACTTCACTAAACTTCCTCATTGCCCTACTTATATAGCCCTACTTCAACTGCCACTGAGATTACTGAGGAAGAAATCTGTTTCGAACCTCATTCTGAAACTAGCTGGAGCCCAAAAAGGAGGAGCGATACTAATGATTAGTGCCAGCTTGTTCAGCTCTATCATGCTTCAAAAATGCGTCAAGTCAAGGGTATGGTATATGGTCCGGAAGGGCCTCTAACAGTCCAGAGTTCAGACTCACTGAACGTGTAAATGTGCAGCAATGTTCCATTTTGAGTTATTTCTTGTGTGACGACTGCCAAGTTATCTTAGTCCGTTTTTGTTGGTTCCTTGCGCAGCCTTGCGCCTGTTGTTGCTGACAGATTCTGACGGAAGAAGAAGTCATGGTAAGTTTATATAAGTAGATGGAGAGTAAGCTGCACAACAAAGGTGAGATAAGGTGAGGAGGAATGAGGAGGAATGAGGAGGAATGAGGAGGAATGAGGAGGAATGAGGAGGAATGAGGAGTGTGGAAAAATGGTGATGCCACCATCCGCTTTGGGACAGGAGAAGGGCCATTCGCAGCGCCTGAGCCTGAACCAGATGTGCCGACGCCAGAGACACCAGTGACGCCAGTGGCCAAGCAGTTGAAGTACGCGGAGCCCTGGCGCAAGATGAAGAGGATACATGATTCATACATTTTATAATTGTATGATATGGTACTGTAATCTTTGAAATGCAATGAAATGAATACAACGTATACAAACACATGATTCTAAATAGCTTCAAATGGATTAGATTAGTACCTATATAATTAAGTGTCAATAGATTTGATAGATATGCAAATATACCGACAGATCAAAGGCTTAAAATAAAGCTTTAAAGGTTAGTGGGGCGCCAAACTAGTTTGACTTTGTGGGACTGCTGAGGAGACACCCTCCCGACACAAGCCTGGAGCCGAGGACCCGACATGATCCACCATGGTACACCAAACAAGCACTGTCAGACTGCTTCGAGTAACATATCGTACTATTGGTTTTATATGTTTTTTGTTTTTTTTTGAGGTGTTCCAGGTGTTCCATATTTGTTGCTGACACACATTGGAAACATTGGAAAGCTGATGACCTTCCTTCGAAACAAGAATGACAAACAAAGTTGGTTCCCCAACGCTTTCATACTGAGTCATATGAGTCATGTTGTTTCTGGATGTTTCTGGCACTTTCTCTTGAAGACGATCGTTTGTAGCTGCGCGCCTTTTTTGTTGAGGAACAGGATGTGTTCAAGCAGTATTTGCGAGATTTGGAGCTGGCCCGTGTTGCTCATCTCCTTTCTCTCAGCCATTTAGCCGCACATAGCCACATAGCTTATCATAGCTTGATACTTTTGGTGGCGAGTTATTGTGCTTGGATACTTCACTGGTTCGCGTTTCCCCGTTCCATCCTTTTCGCGAAGGCGATGATTGGGAGATGCAAGCCCGGAAGAAGCTTGACAACTGCCGCCGGTGTCTTGTATAGCAATATGGCCAGCACAGAACAAGACATTGCTTCCTGGTTTCATTTTGTCGGTTGCATTTTCTCATGCTTTGCCAAAATCAAAGTCAACACTTATTTCCGGTCAAGGAAAGCCAGATTTGAGCTGGAACTGGTTGACCTGGAGCTAAAAGAGAAGCGATACTCCCACCAGGGCCATAAGGTCCGGACCCCACAATGTCCAAGCGTAGAGTCATCCAATTTTCCAGTGGAGACTCCTAGCAAGTTGGCAATTGAAGATTGTTTGCAGATGACACGGCAGGTCTTTATGCAGCAATTGCAGAAGATGAACAAATCAGCCAGTGATCCAAACATTCGACGACGCCTCAGTATCTAATTATGATTAGGAGGAAAGGCTTGCTGTGTCACATAAAATTCTGAGAAAGTCGGTGTCCACATGGTATCAAGATGATTCAAGATATGTCAAGATATGTCAAGATGTGCCAATGCAAGTGAAGCCCGCTGCAGGTCGCGCAGCAAGAAAGGATAAGACAGCCCCTGAGACTTTCCACTTGAAGAAGCTCAGCCGAAAGATCAAGATCTATGATATCTATGCAAAGCCAGTGCCAGCAACGTCACCGAAATCCAAGGCTCAACCTTGAGGGAAGGGGAAGAACGGTGGATCAAGAATGGTAGATTCTGGCAGGTCAAGAAAGGGAGTTTTGTTCTGGCTTCTACTTCCCAGTTAGCAGCTGTGCGGCTCCGCGCCTCAAGCACCTTGTCAAATTTGCTAAGCATTCCCTTCGTTTTGTTTGCTTCCCCGGCCCCAGGTGGATCAATAGCCTGGGAACATATATAAAGATGGTGCGGGCAGAGCTGGTTCTGCGACCAGTGGAGGAAAGCAGTGTGCAGCATTTGCGATGGCGTCCTATAGCGATCGCGTCGAATTCGCTTTGCTCTTATCTATGTCCTTCTTGTCTAATAGTTTCTTTTTCTTTTTCCTTTCTTGTCTCTTTTCCCCACCTTGCAGATGAAGGTTGCTAGATTTTATGTCCGCTCTACTCACTCTACTCTACTCCTCCCTTTCGCCCTTTCGTCCTTCCGTCCTTCGTCCTTCCATCCTTCGTCCTTTCGGCTGCTGATAAGCTTGACAAATTTTGAGAGACCGGACGATCGTGCTCGACCGCAGAATAGTTCTTGTGACAGGTAACAATTCAAAGACACTGTCATGTCACTAAATCACGTTTCCTGTAGCTTGGCCTCAGAGTCAGCGCAATCCTCCCTGCACATCGCAGACTGCCCAAGCAGCAGACGCTGCCAAAGAGGGGCGATCAGGCTGCAAAGCCTGCTGACAATGGTTTGAAGACCCTTGGAATCCCTGCCATTTGCCGGAGCGCTAGTGCAAATTGTACAGAAAGGGACCAGTCAACCACAAAGTTCAGGCCTGAGGTCTGAAGCAGCGCAAAAGGGATGGGATGGGAGGGCAGCACGCGATGAACGATTATTTTTCAAGAAGCCCCGTGGTACCATGCCAGATTAAAAGTGAGAAGACCAAATTTGGAATGGAAACCACGCATGCAACTCACTGGCATAGCGTGGCTACATCGCTGTGGTTTTGGCTCAGCATCCTGCTCTGCGATGCTGGCCTTACCAATAGCCATCAGTTGGCAGTAGCCCCAGAGCACCTGCAGTTTTGTGAGACGGTGGCCATAGTAGCCAATAGTCTCAGCAGCCGAGTGATGGCGACTGAGGCGTGTAGAAATTTGCAGCTGAAGGGGCCCACAGACCCAGGGGCAGCCTTGAGAAGTCAGCGTATGTAGACCCTGTCAACCTGTGCCAACACTTTCCAATCCTTTCTGTGCTGCAGATCGTTGCAGATTTGTGTTGCATCATGTATTTTGATGTATTTTGCACTGATAAATCCAAGGCCCCTTTGGGCCTTGAGGCTGCAGTTGTCGAAGGTGTGCTAAGGGCATGGGCTGGTGTTCAAATTGAGTGTCAGAAACCATGCGTCGAATAAAATTACACTTGAACTTGAAGGCAAAGTGATGTTCCCCTTGTAGATCGGGACTTGCCCTTGCCTCTGGTGGTTTTCCAAAGATATCCAACGGAGGGGCACTTGAAAATGTATCCACATACAGTATATTCAAAGGAAGTTTAGAAGTCAAACTTCCGACATCATGGACAGATGAAAGTTAGAGGTGGAGCAGAAGAATAGAGAAGAGAAGAGAAGAAGAGAGAAGATCAGAGAAGAGAAAGTCTCAGAAGAAAGAAGATCCAGGCGCGCGAAAAGGTAGGAAAGTCGCGAAACACTGTGTTTTTCCAATGATTTGTGGCTCCGGATGGTCGAAAAGTAGGCTCGCTAAAGCGGCAGGTGCGGAGCCATCTGGGCAGATGAGAGATGAACAATTGCATGCGGTTGTCCGTCCCGAAGCACTTTTCGAAGTCGAAAGTCTTAAAAACTGAGGGTCTTGGACCACTTTTCGAAGTTGAGATGTTGAAAAAGTGCACGCTGTTGCGGCGCCAAGCACATGCCGAAGTCGGAATGCTAAAACCACCACATGCTCGCGCCACTTTTGGATGTTGAAGCGCTCGTTTTGTGTGGCAAGCGCAAGGGATTCTGCACCCTGCCACAAGTGAGCAAAGCGTGAAAGTTTAGTGGCATTTCCAAAAACGATGGCAGGCGTGGAACATTTGAAGAGGATCCGCAAAGATGCATTTCGCGTGGCAGGCGCGATGCAAGAAACATTTTCATCAGAGATGTTAGGAGGCCAGGGTGCTGATTTCCTGAGAAGGGTTGCATTTTGGAGCATCAGATCGTCAGGTTTGCGAAGATGATTTTGCGTGACAGGCGCAACACTTCCCATGACTTGGCATCACTTTCTCGTGGCGGCGCAGTACCTATGAGAGATGGGATGGAAAAATCGCAAAAAACATTGGCACGAGGGTGTCAGCTCAGCGCTCAACTTTACATTTTTCAGAATTGCTTCGTGTTTGATGCTGTCAAGTTGAAAAATTGAGGGAGTCCCGCACACTAGCTTCGTTTTTGACGTTGTCAAGTTCAAAAATCGGGGAAGTCTCACAGAATATCTATATCTATATCTATATATATATATATACATATAAAAATATATTTAGATAGCGAGAGAGATAGATCGATAGATCGATAGATCAATAATGTCAACATCGGATTAATAACCCCCCCCCAAACATTAAAGGAGTCACAATAAAGTTAGGGCCAAACATTCAACTATCGTAAAAAATCACCTATGTATTCACGAATGAATTGCCTAATTGAAAACGAATACATAAAGGGAACTTTCCAAAAAAAAAAATCACCTATGTATTCACGAATGAATTGCCTAATTGAAAACGAATACATAAAGGGAACTTTCCAAAAAAAAAATCACCGATGTATTCACGAATGCATTGCCTAATTGAAAACGAATACATAAAGGGAACTTTCCAAAAAAAAAATCACCTATGTATTCACGAATGAATTGCCTAATTGAAAACGAATACATAAAGGGAACTTTCCAAAAAAAAAATCACCTATGCATTCACGAATGAATTGCCTAATTGAAAACGAATACATAAAGGGAACTTTCCAAAAAAAAAATCACCTATGTATTCACGAATGAATTTCCTAATTGAAAACGAATACATAAAGGGAACTTTCCAAAAAAATAAAATCACCCATGTATTCACGAATGAATTGCCTAATTGAAAACGAATACATAAAGGGAACTTTCCAAAAAAAAAATCACCTATGTATTCACGAATGAATTGCCTAATTGAAAACGAATACATAAAGGGAACTTTCCAAAAAAAAAACACACCTATGTATTCACGAATGAATTGCCTAATTGAAAACGAATACTAAAGGGAACTTCAAAAAAAAAATCACCTATGAATGCACGAATGAATGTGCCTAATGACGAATCACATAGAGGGAATTTCCAGGAAAAAAAATCACCTATGTATTCCCAAATGAATTGGCCCAATTGAAAACGGATTACATAAAGTGAACTTTCCAGAAAAAAAAATTCACCTATGTATTCCAAATGATTGCCTAATTGAACACTATACATAATTAGGATGGGACAAATAGTTCAGAAGATTTTATTTGTATGGGTTGGTATACTGAAATTTATTGTGATGTTGCAAGGGTGCACAAATATTTATAATACTTTTTTAGGGGAGTGCAAACATTCATTATTATTTTGATGTGTAAGGGTGCAACAAATATTTCAGATACTTTAGGGGTTGAGAATCCTGACACTTATTGTGATTTCAAGGTTGCCAATATTTCAGATACTTTATTAGGGGTGCAACATTCATTATTATTTTGTGGTTAAGGTTGATTTGTTTTTTTATGTTTTTTTTCATTTAGTATTCCCAAATGAATTGCCTAATGAAAACGAATACATAAGGGAACTTTCCAAAAAAAAAAATCACCTATGTATTCCCAAATGAATTGCCTAATTGACAACCGATTACATAGAGGGAACTTTCAGAAAAACATTCCCTATGATTCCCATTAATTGGCCCAATGAAAACGATTACATAAGGTAACTTTCCAGAAAAAAACCCCTAGGTTTCAATGAATTGCCTAATTGAAAACGATTACATAAATTAGGATAATTAGGATGGACAAATATTTCAGAATACTTTATTTAGGGGTTGAGTATACTGACAAATTATTGTGATGTCAAGGGTGCACAAATATTTCAGAATACTTTATTTAGGGGAGTGCAAACATTCATTATTATTTTGATGTGTAGGGTGCACAAATATTTCAGAATACTTTATTTAGGGGTTGAGAATACTGACAAATTATTGTGATGTCAAGGGTGCACAAATATTTCAGAATACTTTATTTAGGGGAGTGCAAACATTCATTATTATTTTGATGTTAAGGGTTGATTTTTTTAAATTCATTTTAGTATTCCCAAATGAATTGCCTAATTGAAAACGAATACATAAGGGAACTTTCCAGAAAAAAAACACGTATGTATTCCCAAATGAATTGCCTAATTGAAAACGATTACATAAAGGGAACTTTCCAAAAAAAAATCACCTAATTAATTATGTATTTCCAAATGAATTGCCTAATTGAAAACGATTACATAAAGGGAACTTTCCAAAAAAAAAACATCTAATTATGTATTCCCAAATGAATTGCCTAATTGAAAATGAATAATTACATAATTAAAGTGAACTTTCTTTCCACTTTAGTATTCCCACATGAATTGCAAAAAAATAGACCTCTGAAATCCAAATACTTTATCTAGGGGAGTGCAAACATTCATTATTATTTTGATGTTAAGGGTGGGAAAATATTTCAGAATACTTTATTTAGGGGTTGAGTATACTGACAAATTATTGTGATGTCAAAGGTGGAAAAATATTTCAGAATACTTTATTTAGGGGTTGAGTATACTGACACATTATTGTGATGTTAATTGCCTAAATGAAAACGAAGAATTACATAAAGTGAACTTTCTTTCCACTTTAGCATTCACAAATGAATTGCCTAATTGAAAGCAAATACATAATTACTCAAGTGGACATCCCCTTCGCATTTTCAAATTTCAAAATAAATTGCAGTAATTAGGTTACGTTACATTGCAGTACATTACAAACCATTACATACCATTACATACCATTACATACCATTCCATACCAGCACATACCATTGCATACCATTACATACGATTACATACCATTACATACCATTGCATACCATTACATACCATTAATTACATACCATTACATACCATTGCAATCCATTACATGCAAATAATTACAAACCAATACATACCATTACATACCAATACATACCATTTCATACCATTACATACCACTACATACCATTACATAGGTTGCCAACATACAGCCCCAAAGCTGGTCCATTAACGCCTGATAAGGCCCGTAGAATGCCAACCTACAGCCCCAAAGGCACCTAATTGCAGGTTCTTCTGGTGGTTGCTGGACCGGGTTGCTGGAGCGCCTTTGGGGCTGTATGTCGGCAACCTACAGGTCTTTTTGGGGATTGCTGGACCGCCTTTGGGGCTGTATGTTGGCAACCTACAGCCCCAAAGCCAGTCCAGTAACCCCACGGCAGACCTGTAGGTTGCCAACATACAGCCCCAAAGCCGGTTCAGCAATCACCAAAAAGACCTGTAGGTTGCCAACATACAGCCCTAAAGGCGGTCCAGCAAACCCATGGCAGACCTGTAGGTTACCAACCTACAGCCCCAAAGGCAGTCAAGAAACCCCGATAAGAACCTGTAGGTTGCCAACATACAGCGCCAAAGGCGGTCCAACAACCCGCAAAAAGACTTGTAGGTTGCCAACATACAGCCCCAAAGCCGGTCCAGCAATCCACGGCAGACCTGTAGGTTGCCAACATACAGGTTGCTTTGTGCTTATCCCTTCTTTATCCCTTCTTTATCCCATCTTTA